GCATAAAAACACATTATTCTTATTTTTACATGTTATTTGAATTAGAGAAGAATATTTTCATGTATATAAATCGGTTCCCCGTAAACCTTCCCGGGAACACGGCTTCAAGTCAGGAATTGGCTCTTTGGCCCATGTATATATATAACTCAGGATATCAGGAATGCGCATATGCCCGTTTATATATATGTTATATTCTTCGTCTAATTCCCCTTTATAAACCCCATGTTGGTCGATTAAATTTTAAATGACTATGCATGAAATATTGTGCACTAACCACAGAGTTACCGTGGAACGACTTCTGTAAAACTATGAAAATAACCGTGACCCAGAACATGTCTAATCAAGATGGGTGCATCGTCTAGTCGATGCTATAGTAGTAATAGCCAAAGAAAAATCTCATATCGGGATATCGATATCGAGAGTATAGCCATGCTATGAAAACACGCTTATAAATCATATTTTTAACAGGAGTCGTCTTCATGCACAGTCTCTCCTATTGGATGACAACTAGGTGATTAAGCAACACTTTCCATACAGCCATGCATATCAAGCATAATAAGTTCATAACAAGTACAAATAGATTATTCATATATCATATGGTCGATGTCACCAGATCATGCTTCTGATTTCACATAGTTGATTTAAAGTTTACAAAAGATGTGAGCTTAATGTCTACTTGTGTCCGTGAAATTCCTAACCATTAATAAACTAGAGATTAATCTTTTTGGAACTATGATCCCAATCATTAATGTCCTTCAATTATCAATTAGTGACTATCAAAGTGAACTTGACTATACTGTGCTATCTGCCAATCAACAAAAGAACAATGTTCATCAAAAACTTTATCCCTTTCTTTTAATATAAAACTCTCATCTTTCTCACCCACTCCCCTATTATTCTTAGCAACATTAAACATCTAATTCCCTACCTCAAATTTTCATGTTCCTCATTAAAACTTATGACAGAGGAATCTTTCACGTTTCTCCATCAAGCTCTTCAATTCTACATTTCTCCATAGCTTTATCTGCATCAATCTCTCTCCTCTATTGATTTAGCAAATGATCATTCTTAGCCTAAGACCAAAGTCTGGATGCATCATTTCCCATAGCATTAGAGTGATAACTTTTGCTTAACTGTCCATTTCACTATCACAAAGATGTAATGAAGAACTCCCAGCAGACTTGCTTTATATCTTCCTGTTCCCATCATCTAAATCCATAAAACCTATTTCTTTATTTTTATCATTTACGTTATATCTCCAATCAAAGAAAAGTCAACCACATATCTTGCTCAATCCCTTTTACTTGTGCTGTGTGAAACAAAAATGGAACCTTTATGCACACGTGTAACAACTCCTATGCTTCTAGTCCTATCCTAGTATGAAAGAAGGTTGATTGCTTGGGCCCATATAATTCAAATCAATCCATATGCCTACCTCACAAATTTGTTCCTTCAATTACAAATAGAAATCACTAGGCTCTCTGTCTCACCGTATGGACCAATTGACTAAGCAGCAAAACAAATAACTAAATCATACTTATGTCGGTGGCGCATGATGAGAGCCTTACAAATTTCCCACAGTATAAGTCATTGACAATTCCAATAATTCCTTAGCCTTGTATAGAGGAATGTTCAATTCCTTCAAACTTTAGCATGCCCCTACTTAGTATTTGATAACAAAAAAAAGTACATTGATAGGGATTAATTACTGAGCTACATATTATTACGAGGTTTTCTCATAAGGAGATACTTCAGTATCTCATTCTTGTTTATTTTAGTGCTCATGATTTTTCTATGAAGAAATACGAAATATTTTGATTAGGAGATCATGAAAATAAAAACTTAAATGATAAGAAAATGCTTGCATAAAAATAATGAGAACGAATTCA